TTTATATTACATGTTAAGACACAAATAGTATTTTTAGAGCTATTCCTTGCAGCAGCTATGCTAAAGCTATACTTTAAATAATATATAAATATTGTGGAACCAAGTTTTTTAATTAATATAGAATGTAGAAACTGTGTAGCCTACTAAACATAAACAATAAGACAATAGATATAAATATAAACTGATATATGACTGAATTATATATTGACATTCACAAATCCATTTATTATTATTGATTTTTGCTAATAAACCCTTTTATTAGCAATAATTCTCCTAAATGGCCTTGAAAAAAAAAGACACACACACACACACACACACACACACACACACACAACACACACACACCTTTATTTTCTGCAACACATCAGCTTATTTAAAAAAAAACATAATGGATATGGGTTGTTTACATGTTTTTAATTTTTTTTAAGTTTTCAAGCTATTGGTTTATAATTGTTTTTTCAATATTTAAATTACATAATTATTTTCCAAATAAACATTTAATATAGTACACACCCATGATCCTGGGTTCACAGAATATTTTTTATTCCCAAAAAAAAGAGCAGAACAGTACCCGATTACTTTCAGACTCTGTTTCTCTCTAACTTACACTTGGTACAGAGCTGTCTTAATAGGCAGACATGGAGAGGGGAGATAAGTCACTGCTTTAACTTCATTCAATGGTGTATGTAACTTTTATGGTGTGCTATTGACATAGGTAAAGAGCTCTTTTTTTCAGGTTTTATGGTCAGAGACTGGGTGTGAGATCTCACTGATCCTATGATATGAATTAACTAAGAAATGTACATATGTATATTCTTAACAACGTACTTTCTTAGGTTATAAAAAAAAAAAGACAGATCATTACCTCCATGTGAAGTAACATTTATTGAAAGTTACGTTCTGACGAAGGGGGTGTTACCACTGAAACGCATCAACTGACTAAGGCACAGCGGTGAGGAGACATATCCATTGTGAAAGCATATGCATGTCTAAAGCGTTCATCTTATGTACACTTGTGAGTGCATTTTTAATCTTTTTATACTGTTCAATAAATAAATGTTCCTTCACATGTTCCTTCACGCTCTGTCGTTTTGTGTTTTACATGTGTTGAAGAGAATGCCTATCTCTCTGTGATGAACAGCCCCTCGTTCTATGAGGATAGGAACTGCAGGAGACAGCCGGAAGCCATTTTCAGCACTGAGACAGCTTATTTTACATATATACATTTCTCTTAGGTTATAGTATAAAGCTGTGACATATGCATAAGTACCCCAGGTGTTTCCTTGTTCGTAGTTAAGTATACTGTATATTTGTTCTAATAAATCAAAATCAATAATGCTACAAATCCTTTGGAAACATCGTAATTTGTGTTGTCATTATACTTGTGCTGAATGGTGTTCAAATAATTCAAATCCTTTCTTTACTTCTAAGACTTGTGCACCTGAGAATCCCAAATACCAAGCTGTAGCTCTTTCAGACACCTAAGGCAATGTCAGCTGTACAAGCTAATACAAGAAACCTGTCCTTTTCTCTAGTACTAAACATACACCCACATGTACTGGACTGTAATTCTTTGTTCTGTCAGCAACAGAAGTACTGCAATGTGACAGATTGATTAAATGCCTGTAATATGACATATGTATTCAAACTAAATAAGAGAAAAGCAGGGGTATTGTTAGCATCCAATCAAATGCCAGTGGTTGTTTTCTTGATTGCAGTCAACTGTGACTTACACATAATTTTTTTATTTATTTTACAAATTTGCCTAATTTTATATAATATACTAGTGTTATATGAGAGAAAGAGAAGGGCAGTTGGTATAAGGTATAACCTTAGGTCACAAGATGTAAGGTTTCAAAGTCATTAATGCAGTGCCCAATTTGGGTACCGGCACATCAAGCTAAAGCTGAGGCTCATACTTCACGGAAGCAAATTCTTTCATTACAAATTAGAAATTACCAAAGAATAAAAAGGGGAAAATTTCACTACTGGAGCTGCCAGAACAAGATCTATAAATGTCCCTGTGAATGATGGTCTACGCACTGTTGTTTGAGCTCTAATGAGTTGGTTCTGGCCATGCTTCATTAACCAGGTCTTCCACTGCCGCTGAACCCTTATGGGAAGCACTTTTCCACAAGGCACTCTACTCATTCAGATGACCTACAATCCAGAAGTACTGGTGGACACAAAGGTTTCTTTCTCACAACAGTACACCAAACAAGCCTAAATGGACGCCTGTTCTTCCCACAAAATGCAGCACAAGCTCCTTCTTACCCCCAGCAACATTGTGCTTCAGCCTTTCACGCTTTGACCTACCCCCAAAAAACAAGTAATTCTGCATTTCATTAAAAGTTGGATGGTTTCCTGCATCTGTGGAAAAGGCTTTCCAACGGATACAATTCAGTAAAGAGGGCCCATTACAACTTTACAGTTGACATTTTTACCTCAGAAATATCGACTAAAAAAAAGAGGCATTGATGAACAGTTACTTTAGCAAAAATAATTAACTATGCCATGTGTTTTACTGTATTTTGAAGAAAACATTTTCTGTCTTACTTGGCTTAATTCCTAAATTTCAGTATCAGTCCGGCCATAGTACCTATTTTTATAGCTATATACATTACAGCACATTTACCATAAATTACGTAGCAGTGCAGAATCAGAAAATATTCCTTTTTCCTTACTCCTAGCAACCAATTACTATTAATATTTTATAGTGGAAAGAATAATATTATCAGCAATGTTTATTGACTTTACTAATTCCAGACAAAAGTGGACAAACCTAGGCCGTTAAAGACATAATAAGTTATTTATTGGTATTCGAATGACAGTATGAAAGTGGCCATAATGAATATAAACCTTTGTGATACAAACATGTTCTATATCAAGTATCTGCATGATGACAGGTTTTTGGAAACTGCGCATTTTTCGGAATGTGAAGCTTCCCAATATGTATCACTATAGGCAAACATGTTTTTTTATATATAAATACACACTTGTCCACCTTGCATACCTTTGGAACCACTTCATCAAAAGAATGCTCTAGCTATAATTCAAGTATTTTATACCGGAATGTGTTCCTCTTTTAAATAGTTAAAGAAACAATTAAAAATTCCCTTCAGTACCACTTTAGGAATCCAACACTAACATTTTATTAGTTTTTTGTTTTGGAACTGACAACCTCAAAAGAAACGGTCAGCAATAGAAGCCTCTTTTATTCTCGCAAGACAAAAAGACTTGGCAGTATGTATTATGTTGGAATTTTTCATTTACAGTATAACAAGTATACTGTATACAAAACATGCCTAATTTTATTACAAATAGAAATACACATACTCCATTTTATGAGAACATTGTAATGGAAAATACATAGGAAAAAAAAGGAATCAAATATTTTATACTTACAAGAGAAATAAGCTATGCTCAATAGCTATTCGGGCAGAATAAAACTTAACCATTGTAGTGGGGCAACCCCCGCACTGCAAGGGTTAAGTGCTTGTTTTGGTCTAAGGTCTGAAATAAAAAAATATATGCTCACCCGATACTTGGTACTGCCTGGCTGTTGGATCAGTTCCTGCAGCCTTTCCCCCCCCTCCGCACTGGCAGTCTAAGGATCCATGAGTCATCATGTCAATACAGTGTATTAGAGGTGAGGACACCAAGGTATATTCACCACTGGTGCGGAACGGGAGAGAGGCTACGAGGACTGCTCTAGCAGCCAGTGACATTAGTGAATTGATCTGTGGGTAATCAGAGACACTGCTTGAAGACCTAGAGAAGCTATTTGCATGGCTGCCAGTAAATGCCTGTGGGCAGGACAAGATCAGATGCTCTACTCTGTTGATCGGACCCACCCACTGAAGGCATAATGACGTAACCACAGTCACAGTGTTTACATGCAAGAAGGAGAAAACACAACCAGTAGTTGCGATATGGTAGAGAGCA